ATTTAAAATTAACTGACGAATGGTGCCCTTGATCTTATATGCCCTATCTTAGTGGAGAACTGAATTTAAGACTGGAAGAACGAGTAATTGGGAAAAACTTACACTGCCAGATTTGAAATTGACTGTCCCAGGTTCTGCTATTTTGGTATTCCTATGCAGGAACTCGTGAAGAGAGACAGAAATAATTGGACTAAATGTCAACCTTCCCTTTAGATCTTGTTTAGTTTTTAACTTACCTTTATTCTTGTTCTGGGGATTTCTCTTCTATTGTTTGCCATTTATGATTTGTAGGCACCTTCTGTTACAAAATTGATAAAGGGGGGGGGGGGCGGACCCACAGAAAATCTAGTATCTGTCTGGCCTATTATCAACCACACAAGGAAATGTGAAATCTCAAAAACATTAAGCAAGCGTGCCTTCGTAGAAGCCACTGTTGGGGGAAAGACGAAAATGTACATCAGCTAAAAGTTGCAAGAAATCACACAGAGAGGAAGACCCCACCAGAATTCTTGCTCTTTTTGTGTTTTCCTGAACATGAAACCCCATTCTCACGTCAAATCTCCAGCCGCACCTCTGATTGGTTCTCTCTGGCCACACCTCTGATTAATTTTACTCTTCATCAGAATTGTAATGGTAAAGGGTAAAGGGACCCCTGACCATTAGGTCCAGTCGCGGATGACTCTGGGGTTGCGGCGCTCATCTCGCTTTATTGGCTGAGGGAGCTGGCGTACAGCTTCCGGGTCATGTGGCCAGCATGACTAAGCCGCTTCTGGCCAACCAGAGCAGGACACGGAAACGCCATTTACCTTCCCGCCGGAGCGGTACCTATTTATCTACTTGCACTTTGATATGCTTTTGAACTGCTAGGTTGGCAGGAGCAGGGACCTAGCAAAGGGAGCTCACCCCGTCACAGGGATTCGAACCGCCAACCTTCTGATTGGCAAGTCCTAGGCTCTGTGGTTTAACCCACAGCGCCACCTGCATCCCTTCATCAGAATTTGTCCTCCATGAATTCATGACTTGGCACTAAAGATGCTTAGACTTCTTTTTGTTACCTTTCCTTTGTTTGCAACCTTCAGTTGCAATTTCGAACTTTTCTTTCGTTGCAATCTTCAGCGACGGATGATTCATGGCGGATGGAAGGAAGTCCTGCATTGGCAGCCCGTCACCATTAAACTGTGGAACTCGCCGCTGCAGGAGGCCAGCAACTTGGATGGCCTTGAAAGATGGGCAAAAATGTATAGAAATCAGGATAAGAATTGTTGGACATGTAAGAAGGAGGGGAACTTCCATCATATGTGGTGGACGTGTACCAGGGTGAAAGCCTATTGGGATCTAATTTACAATGAATTTAAAAAGATCTTTAAATACAATTTCAATTTAAAAAACCCGAGGTGTTTCTGTTAGGTTTAATTGGAGATGAAATTCCAAAAAAAGATGTGAATTTGTTTATGTATGCCACAAGGGCCGCAAGGATACTTCTGGCTCAGAAATGGAAATCACAGGAGCTTCCAACAGTGGAAGAATGGCGGAGTAAGATGGTGGAATATGTGGAGTTAGCAAAGCTGATGGGGAAGATCCGTAATCAGCGCGACGAACTGTTTCAAAAGGACTGGAGCAAATTTATATTATATATGAAAGAACGTTGTAAACACCTGAAAACGTTTGTAGCTTTGAGTTGAAATGTTTTGTCATGTGATTATAAGGAACTGATTTACCTTTAATGAGGGGAATTTTAAAAAAAATGAGAGAAGGTAAAAAAGTGGTTATAGAAATGCTAAGAATAAATATGTATGGAAGTCAGAAAGAGGATCGAGAGGAGGTCGATGCTCGGATAGAGCAATATTTGAGTTTATTGAATTATGTATGGAAATTGTAACTATGATAAAGTCGAAAATGCAATAAAAATTATTATAAAAAAGAAAGAAAGAGGGAGGGGTGGGCAAATTCATGGAGGAGAATAAGGCTATTGATAGTTACTAGCCGTGAAAGCTATGCTCTGCCTCCACTGTCAAAGGCAATAATACTTCTGAATTGCTGGAAACCGTAGGAGGGGAAAGTTGCTGTTGGGCTGTGGTCCTGCATACGGGTTTTCCACAGGAATCTGGTTGGCCAGTGCGAAAACAGGATGCTGGATTAATCGGGCAGCAAGACTCTTGTCAGGGGATGCCAACTTGAAAAAAATATTGGGGGGGGGGCTGCAGGTAAACCCCACTCCGCATAATCAATCACAAGACATGGTGCACAAACACCATTTGAATGACAATGCCCATCAACTGGGGTGGTGTGGCTTCCTCAAATATTTTATGGGGGGGGTGTCCTGAAGGGACCTTGGCTCCAAGGAGTTTGGTCCTATGCTCTTGTATCACCCTCTTTCAGCTTTCCTTATCAAAACAACTACAGTAGTACCTCGGGTTAAGAACTTAATTCGTTCTGGAGGTCCTGAAACTGTTCTTAACCTGAGGTACCACTTTAGCTAATGGGGCCTCCCACTGCTGCTGCGCCACCACCATGCGATTTCTGTTCTCATCCTGAAGCAAAGTTCTTAACCTGAGGTACTATTTCTGGGTTAGGTGAGTCTGTAACCTGGAGCGTCTGTAACCCGAGGTACCACTGTACTTCTTCCGCAATCCCTTATAGCCAAGTAAGATTGTCTTCCATAAACACGGTTTTAACAGTGAGTCTGTAAGCGACTGCGGAGGCCAATTCTGGATCCGCACGCCCTTCCACAGTGAGGACATTGGTTTAAAGACAGGAGCTGATCATGGCGGGGGTTTGCCAAGCATGCCTTCCTCTTTGCACGTTTCTCCCTTTCGTCCTGAGTTTGAGTGTCTTCAAAGCCCATGACACCTTTGGTAAAGGCTGTTCTCCAACTGGAACGCTCATAGGCCAGTGTTTCCCAGTTGTTGGTTGCTTATACAGTGGTACCTCAGGTTAAGTACTTAATTCGTTCTGGAGGTCTATACTTAACCTGAAACTGTTCTTAACCTAAAGCACCACTTTAGCTAATGGGGCCTGCTGCTGCTGTCGCACCGCCGGAGCACAATTTCTGTTCTCATCCTGAAGCAAAGTTCTTGACGTGAGGTACTATTTCTGGGTTAGCGGAGTCTGTAACCTGAAGCGTCTGTAACCTGAAGCATATGTAACCCGAGGTACCACTGTACTACATTTTTTAGATTTCCCTTGATCAGATGCACAACACTCTAACCATTAGGCCACAGTGCCTCTCCCTCCCTCTGCAAAGCATGGATCGCAATGGGCTTTTTGACGAAGGACGTAGGTAAGGCATCGATCACATTCAAGGCACCATGATGCCCCTTCATGAACAGCCATGGCTTCCCTCAAAGAATCATGGGACCTGCTGTTTGCTAAGGATGCTGAGAGTTCATAGAATCGTAAGACTGTTGTAGTCATCTAGTCCAACCCCCTTGCAATGCAGGGATCTCAACATCCCATTTGAAACCAAGCCAGACCCTGCTTAGCTTGGCAAATGGGCTAGCAGTTTTATTGCTGTGCCATTAGCAGATCCCTTATCCTGCCCCCATCCCAGAGATATACCGTATTTTTCGCCCTATAGGACGCACCAGCCCATAGGACGCACCTAGATTTTGGGGGGGGAATAAAGGGAAAAAATTTATTTTCCCCCCCAGGCGCAGGACTGGGGCGGGGGAAGCTCGGGCTTCCCCCTCCCCCAGCCCCAGAATGGGACCCAGAGCGATGCCGAAGCTGCGTGCAGCTTTGGCATCGCTCTGGGAGCTTGCGGGGCTGGAGGAGGGGAAAGCCCTCCGCCAGCCTTCTAGCCAAGTCGGGGGACAGCGGGAAAGGCGCGCTGCGGGGCTGGGGCTCTCCTGCGGGGCTGGGGCTCTCCTGAAGTCTGGAGAGCGAGAGGGGTCGGTGCGCACCAACTCCTCTTGCACTCCAGGCTTCAGCGAAAGCCTGCATTCGCCCCATAGGACGCACACACATTTCCCCTTCACTTTTGGAGGGGGAAAAGTGCGTCCTATAGGGTGAAAAATACGGTAATTCCTGAAATCTCCTGAAGAACAAGGGCAAAATCTGGATATACCAGCAGCTGGGAATCACATGTCTGGAGAGCGCTGCACTCATGTCCTGCTTTTGGGTTGTGGGTTCAAACCTCGTGTTGGTCAAAAGATCCTATTCCAACTCTATAATTCTTTGATTCTAACCTCAGGCTTTTTTGTTCTTAAGGCAGGGTCACTGGTCCCAGCAGTCGGCCAGCCACAACCAATTGATGGAGCCTTCATATTTAGAGGCAGTTTACCCCCTGTTGTAAACAAAAATTGCCCTTTTCTCTTATGGGGTATCCAAGAGCCCATATAGAGTCCTTACATAGGTTCCCTATTGGTAGGAGAGAATAACAGAGGCCAACCAGAGAATATTGAGAAGCAAAGCAGCTAGTAAGCTTGATCTTTATTGCTCTGTTGCAACAGGGTGCTCCCCTCACCCACAGGAGAGAGGAGGGACCCAGAAAAATGGCATGCAAGGCCTTATAAAGACTTTTGAAATTGCTACCCTGTAGATCAAGACCACCCCCAGAAACATCATACATACATCACAGAAGGGGTGTAACCTAAGACCACCCCTCAGATACATCACACCTACATCACAAAAAAGGCGGTCTAAAACAGAAATTTGAATGTTGTTTTTCTCCTGTCATTGTTTATCTCCTGTCTGGCAGGTTACTTGATTGGATTGCCTGGGGAGCCTGGCTATTCATTTGTAGTGATAAATACTTAGTTCCTGGGCCATGTCACAGGCTCACACCCCATTCAAACACAGACATACTCTTAAGACAGGATTTGTGAAGGAAAAGGCAATGGGGAGGCTTTTCTATTTTGACCTTGCAGAGAAAACATTTGCTCAGTTTAGGAATCAAAATGGCCTCAGGTCGGTCTTCCTGTGCTGATCTATGTACGTGCTTGGTACACTTATGAACATTGCCATATATCTAAGACCTCAAAATTCCTATCACACTCCAAATGACAGTTTTGGCGGTGAACGGCTGCAGGTAAGTGGTCTTAAAGCTCGGGTCCTGGTTGGCCACTGTGTGACCAAGACGCTGGACCCTTTCAGTCTGACCCAGCAGGGAAAGCCCCCCCCCCTCAATCTTGCATTACTAAATAAATGAACCCACAGCCAACTATGAGACTGCTCCAGACCAGCCCTCAACCCTTGCTATTCATTACAAGCATATCGCTTAAGCATAAATGTTCTCTGGGTGTGTGTGATCTTACACATTACAAAAGGCAGAGTCATTTAATAACCACGGTTTTTTTAAAAAAAGGTGTGACTTTCTCCCCCCCTAAAAAAAACCCTTTAAGAAATGAAAATAACACCCAAATAGTTCTTTTCTCAGTCCAGCCTTGCCACACGCTGCCTGCCATGAGATTACTTGCTGCGGGGGGGGGGGGGGACGAGAGAGAACAAAGCAGCTGCCTCGCACGGAATGAGACCCTTGGTCCCATCTAGCTTAGTGGTGTCTGCACGGACTGGCAGCAGCTCTCCAGGGTGTTATTCGGCAGGTGCTGGGGGGGTTGAATCTGGGACATTCTGCATGCAGAGCGGGTGCTCCACCACTGAGCCACAGCCCTTCCTCTACTAAAGAGGGCTCCTAAATAGCACTTTTCTGTTTCTTTAAGCGCAACCTTATCTGGAAAAAATAATAGCAGGTGAAAACTCTGCAAGCCGCAGGCAGCCGGCAGACCTCAGCTGCCTTTTAAGCCGAGGCAGGGGAAACACTGATGACCCTCTCTAAATGATGCCGGATTTCACCTACCATCACACACACTCCGCGCTCTAACCATTGCTCATGCTGGCTTGCTGGGAGTTGAAATCCAACTGCATCTGCGAGGGCCAAAGATTCCCTCCCTCGCACGCGCGCACACTTCTTGGTTTAAAAGAGTGCAAAAACAAAGGGCGTTAAAAACAACCCCAAAAAAACACCTGACCGGTCAACCCTGGATAGGCTTGTCCCCATTTCACAGGAGGCAAACTGAGGCAGATAACGGGAAAGGCGGGAGATAAGCTACCGGTAAGCGCCTGTGATGTGTGATTTGGAAACCACGTTCTCAGGCAAGGATGGCCGCAGACCTAGGGTTTTTTTTTAATTTTAAAAAAGTTAATTGCATGTAGGCCCCTCGGGGCGGAGTCCTGAGGTTGACCGCAGCCCCAACGCCCCCCCCCCCAACCCCGTGGTTGATTTTATTCTTTTCTTTCGCCCGGCGCAGATCCCGCGCGCTTTGGAGAGGTCCCTGCGCCCTGCGCTCTCCTCGCCGGGCGGGCGGGCAGAAGGGCAGCCTGCGCTCTGCCCACCTCCCATTTCTGAAGAAGAGGGCAGAGAGACCCGGAGTCGCCATGGGTGCTTGGAGTCGCCCTACGTGGCTGCTGTTCCTCCTCTTGGTTCTGCAGAGGGTCGCGGCGCCGCCTTCCCAGGTGAGGCATCCGCGCGGCTTAAGATCGGGGAATGGGGGAATCAGTCGTGGGTTTAAGTTCCTTCCTTGGAGGTTTTTGAGCAGAGGCTGGATGGCCACGTGCCATGGGTGCTTTAGCTGAGATTCCTGCATGGCGCGCGGGGGGGGGGGGTTGGGCTAGATGACTGCTGGGGATCCCTACAATTCTATGCTTCTGAGAAGGGGAAGAACCATCGCACGGTTTTTGAGCACTACTAGGTGGTAGACTCCCTTTTCTGAGCAATGGGGACTGGGATTTTGGATCACTTTTTAGGGGAAGGACACGCAGCGCGTGGTTAATCTGTGGAACTCGCTGCTGCAGGAGGCAGTGACAAATGCGTGGGGGGGGGCTAGCGATGGCTCGTGGCTATGCTCGATGGCCATGTTCTCCTTCCACGGTCGGAGACAGTGATGATTTATTATTATTATTATTATTATTATTATTATTTTATTAGCCCACCCATCTGGCTGGGTTTCTCCAGCCACCCTGGGCAGCTTCCAACAAAGTATTAAAATGCTCAGGTTAAGTACTTAATTCGTTCCGGAGGTCCATTCTTAACCTGAAACTATTCTTAACCTGAAGCACCACTTTAGCTAATGGGGCCTCCTGCTGCCGCCAGAGCACGATTTCTGTTCTCATCCTGAAGCAAAGTTCTTAACCTGAAGCGCTATTTCTGGGTTAGTGCAGTCTGTAACCTGAAGCGTATGTAACCTGAAGCGTATGTAACCCGAAGTACCACTGTACAGTGGTCTGTTAAACATTAAAAGCTTCCCTAAACAGGGCTGCCTTCAGATGTCTTCTAAAAGTTGGTTGCTTCTGAAGACCAGTTGCTGGAAATCACAGGAGGGCGATTGCGCTTGAATCCTGCTTTCCCTTTGGGGCATATGGCTGTGAGGACAAGATGATGGGCCATTGGCCTGATCCTGACCCAGTGGGCTCACCTCACGTTCTTTGCTGAGTGGTAGAGCACCTGCTTTGCATGCAGAAGGTCCCAGGCTCCGTCTTCAGTTAGGGCTTGAAATCTCCCCTGCCTGAGATCCTGGACAGCTGCTGCCAGTCTGTGTTGGCAGCAATGGGCTAGATGGCCAGTGGCCCAACTCACTCTAAAACTTAAGCCCCTTCTCCTGACTTTATTCCAAAAAATCTTGCCCAGGTTTTTTTGGGCAGGGGGGAACTGAGAGATGGGTGTCCTCTTGGCTGGCAGGCACCCAAAAATGTAAGAAAGACCCTCTTGGGTCAGATCAGGGGACTGCCGGTCCAGCGCTGGTGCCTCTGGGAAGCCAACAAAGTATCAGGGTGAGGAATGAGCCTGCAGCTGTTTGGCATGCAGAACGCCCCAGCTTTGATCCCTGGTGTCTCTAGGTAGGGTGGGAGGAGAACGATGTTTGGAAAAACTCAAGAACTGCTGCTGGTGAGAGGGTGGATGTGAGGTGCTTGTACAGTGGTACCTCAGGTTAAGAACTTAATTCGTTACGGAGGTCTGTTCTTAACCTGAAACTGTTCTTAACCTGAAGCACCACTTTAGCTAATGGGGCCTCCTGCTGCCGCCGGAGCCCGATTTCTGTTCTTATCCTGAAGCAAAGTTCTTAACCTGAAGCACTATTTCTGGATTAGCGGAGTCTGTATCCTGAAGCGTATGTAACCCGAGGTACCACTGTACTTTCAAAGCGCATTTCCTCCCCACCCCTCCGAAGAATTCTGAGCACTGTAGTTTGGGAAGGTTTGCTTGGACCTGTCACTTTTTGAAGAGCGGTGTGTGTGTGTGTTAAACTACTATGCCCAGAATCCTTTGAGGGAAAGATCATGCACTGGATGGGCTTAAAAGCCACTGGAGATGGGCTTTCAATGCATTGCCATTCAATGACCATTGGGATCCCTTCAAACTACAATTCTACGGATCTAGGATAGGAATGAGCGAGGAGGACCAGTACTGTGGTTCCATCATCACCACCACCATCATTATTGAAGGCAGCTTCCCATGTTGGGTATGGGGAACATTTTGCCCCATTTTACTTGATTGGATTGCCTGGGGAGCCTGGCCAATCTTTTGTAATGATAAATACTTAGTTCCTGGGCCAGGTCACAGGCTCACACCCTATTCAAACACAGACATACCCTTAAGACAGGATTTGTGAGGAAAGAGACAATTTGACCACTTTGACCTTGCAGAGAAAACATTTGGTCAGTTTGGGAATCAAAATGGTTCCAGGTTGGTCTTCCTGTGCTGATCTATGTACGTGCTTGGTTGGTACACTTATGAACATTTAACATATATCTAAGACCTCAAAATTCCTATCACAGCCCCAAGGTCACCCCGATGAGCTTCAGGACTGAATGGCGGATTTGAACCTGGGTCTCTCCCACGTCCTAGCACGTTTGCACCCTAACCACTATGCCGCACTGCCTCTTGCGGTTTTGCTGTGGACGGAGCTGCAAGCGAGTGCTTTAATGTGGAGAGGAATGGGCCGGTGTCCTTCCGCCTCCTGGCATGTGTGCATAACAGCAAAACCTCGCACGTGCAGCTGTTGCTGTGGATCTTGTTCAACCCAGCAGCTCTTTCTCCTGGGGCCAGGAAACCCAGCCATCTTTGGCTCCCATACTGGCTAAGCCAGCCCGAAAATGACTCATTCACTAATATTTTTCTGAGGCCACTGAAACCAGAAGGCTGATTCAGAAAATTTCAGTTTGCAAGAGATGAGTGGCGAGACCAGGAAACTGGCGGGGTGACAACAACTCCTGTCCTCATTTGAGAATTGACTTGGCCGGCAGGCAGAAAACTGCACCCCTCACTTTTCTGAATCGGCTTTCCCCAGTCCCCTCCCCAAGCACGCTCTTTGCAAAAACCACCCGACCACATCTGAGAAATTTGCAATAACCCTCCAGCTACCTTTGACACAGCGGTTTAGAGCTGAGAAAGGGCTGCTGTTCAAATGGGAGAGCATCTACATCATGGGTAGGCAAACTAAGGCCTGGGGGCCGGATCTGGCCCAATCGCCTTCTAAATCCGGCCCACGGACGGTCTGGGAATCAGCTTGTTTTTACATGAGTCAAATGTGTCCTTTTATTTAAAATGCACCTCTGGGTTATTTGTGGGGCCTGCCTGGTGTTTTTACATGAGTACAGTGGTACCGCGGGTTACATACGCTTCAGGTTACAGACTCTGTCAACCCAGAAATATTACCTTGGGTTAAAAACTTTGCTTCAGGATATATATATATATATATAGTCTGGCCCCCACAAGGTCTGAGGGACAGTGGACCAGCCCCCTGCTGAAAAGGTTTGCTGACCTCTGATCTACATTGTGTGCAGAAGGCTCCAGGTTTGACCCCCCCCCCATGGCAGCATCACCAGATAAGGCTGGGAACGGCACTCCTGCCAGCCAGTGTAGGCCAATGACCTGACTCAGTATAAGGCAGCTTCCTGCATTCCGACTGTAAAGGTAAAGGGACCCCTGACCATTAGGGCCAGTCGTGGCCGACTCTGGGGTTGCGGCGCTCATCTCGCTTTATTGGCCGAGGGAGCCGGCGTACAGCTTCCGGGTCATGTGGCCAGAATGACTAAGCCGCTTCTGGCCAACCAGAGCAGCGCACTGAAACGCCGTTTACCTTCCCGCCAGAGCGGTACCTATTTATCTACTGGCACTGGCGTGCTTTCAAACTGCTAGGTTGGCAGGAGCAGGGACTGAGCAATGGGAGCTCACCCCGTTGTGGGGATTCGAACCGCTGACCTTCTGATCAAGAAGCCCTAGGCTCTGTGGTTTAACCCACAGCGCCACCCGCGTCCCTTCGCATTCCGGTTGTACCAGCCCTTTATTTGCAACCATGAGGCCAAAATCTTGCTAGTCCTTTTGAGGAAATGCCGCAGCGCGGTCGCAGAGCACTTGCCTTGCAGTCAGATGGTCCCGGGTTCAACCTAACCCTGCCTGCAACCCTGGAGCGCTAGAGGTTGGATAGTTCAGCTGGCTAGAATGTGGTGGTGACAGTGCCAAGGTTGCAGGCAACAGCCAGCAAGTCAAGACCCCGGTCGATTCAGCCCCGTTCCTCTCTGACCTCAACGTCCTGCTTAACCACATGTGGCGACTCCAGACAGCGGAGAGCATGAGGGAATCTAACTGTTTCGGGAGGAGACTGGACTGGATTGGGTCTATGAGTGGAATGGGATGCAGAGGTGAGCCCTCCCCACCCTTGTTATTGAATAGCGCTTTCTGGGAGAACTGCAGAAAAGCACACACACCTCCAAGCTCACGATAACAAACACATGGTTCATTTTGGTCCACCAGCTAAACCTACACATCCTTCCCATCGATGCCCAGAACAGGGACCTGTACAGAGTTGCGACAGGCAACTCCCTCTTTAGTGAGAGCTGCCTGTCGTAACTCTCCACGAGTCCCCGTTCTTAGCATCAAACACTTCAGGGTGGATATCCTGCGTCTTCGGAATTACCGGATGGTCTGGTGTTTAGCCGGAATCCTCTTCCTAGCTGCTTCCTCCCACTGATCAATCTAGGAACAGTAATGAATCTCCCAAGTTCTTTTGCTTGGCTCACATATCTCTAATTAAAAAGGCAAGGAGTAAATCTTACTGGGGTTTATAAAGCTTGTAAAAGAACAGCTATATAGTCCGCCATTGCAGGGGGTCAGACTAGAAGATCCTCAGGGTCCCTTCCAACTCTATATTTTGTACATTCAAACAGTCTGCATCTGATTTTAGGCAGTGGTTTCCCCAAAATGGCCCAGATGGAAACCCCTCGGACTTCCCACCCCTGCCTTAACAGGAAACATCAAGGAACAAGTGGGTGGGTTTTGCTCATTTTTATTATTATTTTTTGCCACCAGCCGATGCACAGGCAGGGCTATGAATAGAGCTAAGAAGCAGCTGTGTGTTCAAATGCAGATTGTGCCTAATTAATAAAAACACTTGTTGACTGTAAACACCAGGTCAAAACTGAACCGAAGTAGCCTCATTCGTAGCTCTTGAAATGAG